CTGGGAGGAAAGAAATGAAAAAACACCAAGTCAAATTAGCAATGTAATCAATATTGCTGTAATTTTAAAGATTTACCTCAGTGAGGATAAACTAAAAATATATTTGGACAATAATGCTGTATACTATATGATCAACTGAAAGAGTTATGTTTTGCATATACCTAACTATTCAAAGATGAGTGGTAGTCCTTATTGTGTCTTTGTTATAAATTCAGATGGAGAATAAATGTGGGACAAAATGGAAGCATGTATGTCCCTATAAACACTGGGTGTTGCAGTACTTTTCTCTGGAAAGGAGCTCAGAAACATACAGACGTCGGCTAAATTGGGTTAGTGGCCCACCCCTAATGTCCATTTCGGTAAGTCTGTGGTTCATATTCCTTTTATTACAGCGGGGTATTGCTGCCAACCATGACAAAAGATATCTGCCCAGTTTTACATTATGAGATCATTTTCGTGTTTTTTTATGTTTTATGACATATTTTCTTGCCATTACCGGATATTTTCTTGTCACATCATCACATCACTTCATCTCGTTAGGCCTGTATTACAAACTTTTCTCGTTAGAACGTGATAAGCTGGTATCTTGTTTAAACAAGAAACTTAGATTTGAGGAGAGATTGTCGCCTACATCGGCTAGAAAAAAAAAAATATACAGTGACATATAGTATTTGATGCTTGGGATGAGACACAGTCAAAGTATGGAGGTTGTCCCGGAGTGACAGGGTGGACAGGTCAGCGCCTGACACAGACGGACAGTCACAGCGGGGGCGTAGCGGTAAACACTGAATCTTATTATTTACTGAAGTTTACTGCATACAGACATCTACACCTCATAAGGCTCATTAGGTACAGTGTGTGGTCGGGACAGGTAGACAGGTCTTAGAGGTTAGGACACTGTTCTTTGGTGCTGATGAGAGAGAGAGAGAGAGAGAGAGTTTAACCGAACACCACACAATGTCATTTCACATAATGATATCGTGTGGCAGTGTATTGTCACGGCCGCACTATCTGTGGCCCTCGGCAGAAATTCACAAATTGAAAGGTAAGAGAAACGAAAGAGGGAAAAGGAGAACCAGATGGAAAATGCAGTGTCGATGAAAAGGAAACCCGCAGAGGATACACTCAGGACAAACTCTGGCTGAGAAAAGTCCTACAAAAGCAATTGTGGTTAGATACCTTCATGCTGCCCCTGAATGAGACATTAATGGCCAGGAAGCGTTGACTCTTTCTCGGAGAATTCTGACTGCAAAAATGAAATAATCCACTTCAAAGGCCGTACTGTAAATACTGCACACATTCTGTTTATTATATGTAAAAGATGATTAAGTTGTTTATGAGACGAAAGAAAAAAAACCCAGAGAAATTACACTAATTCAATTGTCCCACTGCTTGTATCGGCAGTAAAATGTAAGTATTGTTTCTGAGCTGTAAACACTGGTGACAGTAAGTTTTAGTAACTCTTTTGGGACTAATGTTTCTCGTCTTGATGATCAATGACTCAGCAGCATGACGTTGCTCTATTGGTCCACATCATTGTCTAGCGTGTGTCAAGCCCATGACGGCTAGGGCTGCTCCGATGCAGGCAGGTCTGCCGAACCGCATTCACCTTTGAGCTCCACCAATCAGCAGCAGCTACTCAGGGGCAAACTTTGCCCTGAGTGGTTAATCAGGTAAGCAGGGGCCCCGACGTAAGAGTCTCCCGCTGCTCCGTCTGGAGATGGGACTAATAAAAGAGCGCTGACGGAGGTGGCGGCATGTTCACGCTACTGTAATGTTTTCTTTTCCTCGGTTTGTTTTTTTCAATTCAGTCATTAAACCACATGTTCGGCTGAACAACGCCGGGTACTCCATTTGTTTCAGAACAAATGAGGTTTTTCTTATGTGATTTTTCCTTGATTATTTGTTTAGTAAGATAAAGACGACTGGGTTCTCTCTGATAAAGTGTTAAACTGTGAAACGAGTGTATAAAAGGTTTACTGCGTCTACTTAGTTGACTGGCACCAATGATAAACACGGAATATCTGGTAATATGAATGGTTTTCTGCTCTTTTCTATTAACCGATATCATTTTAAACCAGTTTGGTATTTGTGTGTATCTCACTGTAATGTCACCACTTTCTGAGCAGACCCTCAAAAGGTGATGACAGACAAATCAAGTAAAGCAAACATGTGAAATGGCGATCATAAAACAGATAATATTAGTAGAAAACATAGCAAACTATGGTTTTAATTGAAGGACGAGGTGAAGACGAAGCTAGCAGAAATGTGACAAAGACTTCCGTTGTTTGTCTTCCAAGTATAAATGGGACATTTATACTGATACTGATATTTGACGTGTGTGCGATACATCTAATATCCACTCAAATGATGACAGACAAAGAAAAGCAGAGTCATGAGGACGCGGTGTCGCTGCCAAACAGAGCCTCGGCCTCGCTGCCTTCTCCTCCCAGACACAGAGGAAGCTGAAGGCTTGTATTCATTTTCTCTTAAAGCTCACTGGGTTGTGTTGTGATCTAAAATGTATGTGAAGTGAATACAGTTAACTAAGGCATAGGGGTATGTAACTATAATGGTCTCGGTCTCAAGAGACATCACTGAGAGCCACTGGTTTAGTCTACGTACCAGTGACATGAAGACGACGTCACCGGACTGAACCATAAGATTTGACTATGGCTGACATTCAGAGCAGTAATCACAAGCGAACTTTTTAACTTTTTTTTAACAGATCAGATTGTGTGACTGCCACCGAACACGACACACACTTACACACAACTTTGGATTTATACAACCTCAGATATTTAAGCGTTCAACCTAAAGCTGGAGCTTAAACGTAAGCTGATCACTGTGCCAATGACACTAAATGTTGTGTAATCCAGGAAACACAGTTAACTTACTCTTGACAATCTCTTGATATCACTTTTTTTTTAATTTTTTTTTAAATAGAAACAACGAAATAGAATCAAACATGTCACCAGGATTATCCAAATCACCAACAACAATTCCTAGATTCGGCCACAAAATGATCCCAGCCTACAACCACAGTGCTTCATTACCGGCTGCGTGACTTCTACAGTAGAAAATAATGAACTTCTCTATTTATTTTTGGCATCTACTCAAACAGCTGGTGGTCAGTTCCCAGATAGGTAACAGTTTACCCATTTGTCATCCGCCAAAAAAGGACACTCAGCACTTCCATGGATTACAAAGCCTCATGTGACAAAGCACAACGGCCTTTCACAGCGAGCCACCCACTTATGTGTGCAGGAGTCTCTTTGAATGGTAGCAGCTCACATTTTTGTGATTTTACTCATGTTTAGGTACTAAAATGAAAACAAATCAATGTTCACTACATGTCATATATCGGGCAACAGCTACAGCTGTCAATCAAGATCCTCATTTCTAGTCAGAAGGGGGGAAAAAACAAAAAAAGTGGGATAGTGGTTTCCTGTGTTTGTTTACCTTATTGGTTTGTGATGGCTAACCATTAATTTACAATGCAAACATCCAACAAAACAATCCACTAGAACGGACCACAGATATTTTCATAACAAAACAAGCTGTAATGTAGTTTGCCGGTCAGCTGTAAACTACTGTAAACCTTCTTCTCTATAAAACCAGCATCAGAGCAGTTCTCATGCTCCTCAAGAGATACTGTGAGACTTTCTGCCACGGTGTTCAGAAAACAGCTATGAAACCGGAGCAGCTAGTTGCTTTATCCCCCTGAGAACAATCAAGTCATCCACCCGCCTGCTGTTAATCTACCGAGAAAGAACAATTTCGGGTGATTGTGGCTAAAAATGGTTTCTGGAGATTATTTCAAGTGATGCAGAAGTGAGAAGATTCAGAAGAGAGATTATTAAGTTCTTAGCAGCCCATAATGTACATCAGGGTGACCTCGGAGAACTAAAAAATGGTTACTTCTTCCTACTAATTGTAAATAAAATGTCATTTCTGGTCAGAGTTGTGAAGCTGTCATAAAAGGCTAAAATGCTCACAATAAGGTAGTGAACTGGGATTTTGAACCGGGGAAAAGCTCTGCTGTCTTTGTGGCTAGATTTTAGCTTTATTGCTTTCAGAAAAAACACTTCATTGGACCTGTGGTTTCTGTGAAAACACCCCTCCTCTCAGGTTGCGGGCCTTGTAATTCAAATATCAATAACGGAGATATCCACTGACCCAGAAGGAAAGCGTGAAGACCCGACAGCCAACATGTGCCACTTAACTTATTTGCTTTTCCAAGAGAATCGCACACAAAGCAGTGACGATTCAGCGCCAGCGTGACAGATTAGATGGAGAAAGATTGTCCTTTAAGCGTACGAGTGCTCAGTCCGTGTAGGGTTGTAAACATTAATACTGGCAGTCACAGTGGCTCTGACACTACACTTCATTATGCACATGGGACAACTCTCTAGAAACACTGCAATTCGCAGGAATGGGGTCATCCTTTGATGTGGTCCGCAGTTGTTTTGTAAATCATTTAACCCCTTTGGCGTGACCATCTACCGCCTCTGACACAGGGAGAACTGACTGCGACGGCACAAGCTTCCCAGGCTGATCCATGTGTTGTGTTATTGGTCCAAGTAAACCCTCAGAGGTACGGCTGGGAGGCTGGATTGCTGCGTGGTGGCGTGAAGAAGCCATTAAAGGAGGCTGTCTGGTCATGAAAAGCTCTGACACAAAACAAACAACAACAACGTGTCCTGCAAAACAAGAACCTCCTGCCTGCTAACTCGCAGGTGAAGTCACTTTCACTGACAGGAAACTGAGCTCGGAGTAATCCCACACCGTCTCAGGACTCAGAAAAAAACTTTTAAGGAGTTGAAATGAACACAAGATGAGGCCTACACACTGTGTGTCACCGTGCCCAGCGCACACATGAACAGTGTCCAAAGGGAGGGAAAAAAGCAGGCACATTTATTTTTTTTATTATTCTTGTTTTGTCTCTAACAGGTTTACTTTATTACAACGTAACACATAGGATATAAAAGTGCACTTACGTAACGTCTCAACTTTTTTTCAGGAGGAGACTTTCTCAGCCACCCTGAGCACACCACATCTCCCCCACTCATATCGGCTCCCTTTTCTCTCTCTTGCTCTCCCCCCCCTGGAGTTTCTGAGCGGAGAGATTTCTGTTTGGGCTTCGTTTGTTTTTGGGAGTGTCTTCTCGTACCTGAGGAAAAAACAAAAAACAAATGTTGACACAAAGCTCAAACGGTGGAAGTTGGAAGTACACACACACACACACACACACAAAAAGTGTAATAAAAAATGTAGTATTTGTGTATTTTTTTGTTTTGTTTTGTTTTAAAAGAGCGATGAATACCATCACCCCTTTTCTCGAAAGTCGACTCACCGACAAGGCAGTTCTCTGAAATGCACAGACCAGATTTTTTTCCACGAGTTGTAGTCAAATAGACGGATATATCCTGAGCTCGGAGTTGATAGAAACCTCCGCGGCACCGCCTTTTGTACAAATATCAACGGTGACTTGTGTATTTTGCTCAAACTGGAACGCTGTGGGGGCAAAAAACAGGCGCAGGCAAACTGAGAGTCGCTAAGTTTTTTTTTTTTTTTTGGTTTGTTATATGTAACGCTTCATGCTAATTCCCGTCAAAGTGGAGCGATTCCCAGTTGGGCGAGATCTGATGTAAATGTCCCACAGTGTACCGCTGCATAGTTGTCGTTGTTCGGCGCAAATTAAAAACAATCTTCACCGTAAACACAGTGGTTCCGCCGAGCTTCCCTACCAGTTTACTCCCATGGTTCCTTAATTATGATTGACAGGGTGGCTTCGTCTTTCCCTCAACTCACCCTCCTTGGGAAACATGGTGGCGTCAAGCTAACAGGCCTAATGGCGGGAGGCCGGAAGTTCAGGGGTTCTAATGTCAAAATAAAGGTTTGGCGCGTCCAGAACGTTTGTTTCAACGGCTATTGTACCGGTGTTAACGGTCCAAACGGACAACGATTTAACGTTAAGTCGTTGTTGATTAATAGTTGGCTGTCTATCTAACTATCTATGTTCATTTGCTCAGTCTTTTAGTTATCAATGCGTCTGCTGATTTGGTAAAATGGGATTCTTTTATAATTAGGAACAATTGTATTTTCATTCGTAGATTACAGAACCTCCCTTAAATGTAAAAATTTCATAATTACGACGCAAAACACGTTCCTTCAACGCGTCCTCCCAGCGGAATGTTCTTCATTGGGACATTTGTTTTGAAAGGTTGCCACCGGATGTTGCAGTCTTGTAGCTCCGCTCGCTTTTATAGTAGTTTTAAGGACGAAACGGGGAGGCGGCGGCGTGCAGGGAAAACTGTAGAGCTCCAACCATGGGACATGTAGTTCAAAAATCGTTTATGTACCGTCCCAAACAACAGCAAACGACTGTAGGGCGGTTTGATAGATGAAAGGTGGTGTAATAAAGCTATATGGACCTCCGGGCGAAGACAGAAAGTGGCCTCAAACTGTTGAAGAAAAGACAAAGAAACGAGCCACCTCAGTGTGAACCGAAAGCTCCCAAGAAATGATTGCACTGCTAAACTACACTATCCATAATGCGCGTTTATTCCCTAAAGAAAACTCGCCATAAAAATCATGTATTGTTTGAATTGAATTTATTGACCCATCCTTAGTTACATGTAGGTAGATTTTTGTCATTTATTTTATTTGAAGTGTATTCAGTAGTGTTTTAAAGGCTGCTTGTCCAACACTAAAGTGTTAAGAAAAAGGTTTGTAAAAATAATATTGATCTGGTTTACCATATCTGATCAATGTATTGGACTCACTGGCAAAGCAGTGTTTGCCATGGACTTAGATTGGTATCCGAGGAATCTTATTGGAATGCTATTGTAATGGTAAACACTTCCCCCAAAGGATGTTCCCTGTTAGTCTGTGATTAATGACTTCGCTATTGTACAGGCACATTGCCTCTTTCAACAGCCCTCTGTATGGATGAAGAAATACGGAGCAATTAGAAGCTGTATATACAAAACACCAATTCCAGTTAATGACTTATTTTCATGATATCATATTTAACACAACAGCCACTGCAGTTGTGTTTTAAAGTCAAATAGCTTGTGTGCCATGTTCTCCACGCATTGGGTTTCATGAAACTGGTGTGTGCATTTGTCTGTGGAAGCTCTTGTTGCAATACATAACTCATTTGTACCCACACTAGATGAACAGACATATATAACTATATATATATATATATATATATAATATATAACTATACGAAGCTAAAGCTCATGTAAATATTATAAAGTCCAAATATGACATTACATTTAATGAGTAGATATAATATCAAACCATTCCCAGGAGTTAACTTTTCAATAAATGTGAGGAGAAAAGAGTAATGGTTTGGTTGATTAATAATTGAGAATAATTGATTTTTTTTTCCTAAATGCCCTTTGAAAGCTTTAGTGCTACTGCAATGTTTTTACCAAATCAATTGCTAATTAGTAATAAATGGCACTTGTGCAAACAATTCTGCTATTGTTACATTACAACTAAATATTTGTCCAGTGTCTGGGGGTACAATATGTGACTGCATGTGATTTCCCAGTTCCTTTTTTTTAGCTATATTAATACTTACTGCCATTTGTACAAAAATATTTTGCAATCAAAGCAAAAAACCAAAATGAGATGATGCGTGTGCTTGTTTTGATGAATTATGCAACAACATACAGTTCTGTATTTCTTTTTTTTAATCAACAAAGTCACTTACATACTGAAAATGCATGTTTCTGAGTGGAAGTCTTGAGGTCTGCAGCTATCAATAATATACTGAATTTAACATTATCTCAGTTTGAAGCATTTAACTGATTATACGTTGTTTGTATTTCTTTTTGCAGCTTTAATACCATTTTGCCACATTTAGATCGAGCTACATGGCACTGCCGATGACAGGGTCTGTATATACTGCGAGAAGAGTATAAATTATGTATAGTAGGAGATCCATTCAAGTGGAGACGTAGTACTAGAGATGGCTCCTAGTGGTCAATATATTCTCTCCAGTGGAGAAGTGGAATTATGGAAATGTGACAAGTAAGGTGACGCAGACATTGAGGTACGCTTGAGCATAAAAACACACTCATAACCTTAGCTGTTTGGCTCATTTCCACAAAAAAAAAATAATTTAAGGTTTCCAGAAACCATCTGCTGCTTCGTCTTGCCGTCGCTCAATTGAGTATTTATTAATAGTTCAGTTCATTTTCATAATTTCTTAATTCTTTAAAACATTTGTATCACCACATGTCAACCATTACATTTATAGTTTAGTCCCCAACATCTGCCCACCTCTTTGCCAACATACTACTTTAAATAAATTTACCTTAAATAACCTGCCTGGTTAAGTTAGACAATACAACAAATACTGTTTTCACTTTTACTGTAGGGAAAGGTGAAGCCATTATGAATATTAACACAGTACAGCTGAGGTGTATATCCTGACAAATTCCTCTTCGAAAATCTGCATTAAATATCAAAAGGCACATAAAATCAGCATCAACACAAAAGTCTCCCTGAATGATCAGATCAGAGGAATACATTAAAATATGCCTTCAAACAGTTAAATGTCATCAAATATGTTAAAAGAAGCAGTCTGCTATTCTCTGTAGATCACACTACCTATTAGTGGGAGAAGAGCATTACATATTCATATTGAAAATTTTCCTTATTCTGTATAGTATTCAATTTTCCACATATAGTTTTGTATTCCATGATTATTCAGAATGATATTTTTAAGTCATATGTACATTTATTGCATGAGATATGAAACCTATAAAACACCAAAGCACACATCAAAAAAGATTCAAATATCTTGAAAATCAAACTCCACAGCTTGTGAAGAATAGATGCATGCAAATCAGAAAAGTAAACAAAGGTTGTGAGCTGTGTTCAGACCTATGACAAATCCAAAAAGGTTTTTATCTTACAGTTAAATTCTTTCTTCTGTACTGTGCACTGCACATGCATGTATTTGCATATGTTTGTGTGTGTGTGTGTGTGTGTGTGTGTGTGTGAGGTATTATAAACACTCCGCCAAGCCAGATGATATAAACAAGTTATTTTACATATTTATCACGTATGTAACGTTTTACTAGGAGACTAATGGTTATTTATTTCTATAAAATCAAATTATATGTAGCCGTATTTTTCTTTCATTTGAAGGAGAGAACAAATTCGCACCAATAAGTATTATGAACCTCACACTTTGAAATTTGGAGGATGAATAAAAGATTACAATGTTGAGATCACATAAATGTATCTAAATAAAATAAAAATTATAAAATGACAATGGTATAAAGACTAAACTAAAGTATAAGACTTGGAGATCAGAATCAGCAGAGATGCTCTGTGTGTATGTTGTGTGTTTATGTGTTTAGATCATTTCAGTGCTCTTTTAATGAGGTTATATGCACATGGTATGACAGTTCAGGACTCCCTTAGTGCCAGTTTCCTGCAGCATTTTTTCTTTTTCTTTCAGAAGACCAGTCTACTAATGGTATTGAAGCCCCCTCCCCCTCCTCCTCCTCCACCAGATGGGCCACAGCTCCCTGGTGGGTTATTGTCATCTGAACCGTTGGGCCTGAATGAGCACGAGGACGAAGGGGCCTGGAGAGCCTGGGTCCGAGCATTGAGCTCCTGTTCCTGTTGACAGCATGGAGGGAAGAGAGACGTCTCCAAGTTAGATCATTTTAAAGTGCAAACTACAATATACACTTAACCTACCGGCATGCTGTGCGAGAGAGTTCATTTAGCATTGGTGTAGTTCTATGTGACTTACAGTGCATCAGTGCTGTCACTTAAACATTAATACAGCACCCTCTAGAGGTGATTTACTTCAGTCACTTACACCAGCGGGCTGGAAAGTCAACTCAACACGGCACAGTTCAATGACTCGTGAAATTACACCTCACGTCTTAGAACAGGAGAGCTCAGATTTGGCTTCAAGTTCAGTTAGAAAAAAGAAAAAGCTATACTCTGCAGGCCCTTAGTTATCTGTAAAAGTACAGTCTGTTTTTCCTCAGCTTCTTTCCACCTGAGAGAATCTTGTACAGTCCTCGACTTTCATAATAACCTTAGAATTAAGAGGGGTTAGTGGTAATGAGGTTATACGTCAAATGCATGTAAACCATAAAAATAAGCACAGCATTTCAGCCAAAACATCCGCTGAACCTCTTAGCAGCCAATTAAAAACTTGCTCTAATGCTAATCACTTCCCACTTGGCTTGCATTTATTGGTATACTTTATAGGGAATGATTTGACTAGGTAACATAACGCCTGTATGTGGGAGAAGTATGTTTTTTGTTCACCCCCACATACCTGTAAATACAGCTTGTTGTCCTTGATAATAGCATCCAGTAGTTCTTTCTGCAGGGGAGGCTCGGCACTCAATCTCATTCCATTTGCCATCAGCCCCCCATTTATGCTCTGCCCCGGTAGCTCCTGTTTCCTGTACATGAGCACATAAGCGGTGTCCTTGGGGAAGCGATTAGTAATGTTTTGCACTGATTGGAAGGATGAGAATGTCACTCTGCTATCGTTGAACAGCAGCCAATCCCTCGCCTCCTGGCCACTATTAGGTTGCGTTTCTCCTTGTTCAGGTGGAATTGAGAGAGCTGAGCAAGTGGAGAGGCTGCACTCGGCCTGGCCATTTCCCAAATCCTCCTCGAGGGCAAAGTGATTAGCTGGATGCTGTGTTCCATCTGCTCCGCTGATGTTATGGCCGTAAGAGTAGTAGTGGCCACTCTCGGACGATATGCCAGAATGCATCACCACCGAGCTGAGGACATAGGGCACTGACTGGACTGACATCTCTCCTCCTCGATTTAGCTGCTCTGCTCTTTCTATCCTCTCCTTCTCCTCTTCCTCCTCGTCTTTTTGAGATGGTTTGAGCTTCTTGGCCAGATTCTCACTGCTCTCAGGGGAATCCACTTGCAGAGGAGAAGAGGTAGAAGAGGAACATTGTGTAGGAATTGAAGGGGCATGTACAGGAAGTCTCATGAGCGGCGGGATTGTGACATTGTCCAGAATCTTCCTCCGGACATGGGATTTGGCATCGTATGAGAATCGCAGCAGGGTGAGGATTAAGTATTCAGGTGCCGAAACCACTTTCATGGTCCTCTCCGCCCGCTGGAGAGAGCTACACTTCTCACAGAAATAGGCGTTCTCTTCATCCAGGATCTCTGGAGCCAGAAAATAGTTCACCAGGTCAGGCACAGAGAGAGGGGGCTCATTTGTCGCTGGCAGAAAATGGGCATTGCTTGCTGGGGCTTTGGCCGAGCCTGGCTCAGGGATTTCACTGCCACCATTGACAGATCCCTGACAGAGAACCTTGGGTTCCTCTGAGGGCCCCTCAGGTTGAGGGCTGCCCTGGGAGGTGGCAGAAGGACAGAAGGCCAAAGAGAGGTCTGAGAAAGGCTCCTCTTTCTCAGAGATACAGTTACACTGCAAACAGCGAATACCTGTGATCAGATTCCCACCAAACATCGTTTCTATCAAAGTCCTCCCGTCATTCCCAGGTTTGGTTTCTGCTGGAGTCAAAGATGACTCTTGTCCCTCCGCTGGAGAAGTCTGACCTGTTGGGTCTTGGCTGTTTGTGTCAACAGGGGAGGCAACCTTTGGCTTAGCTGATTCCAGGACCTGAATTGTTTTCTCCTCTTCATGTAACCTTTAGATCAGGAATCAGGGATATTCAACATTAGAGAGAAAACACAAACGAGCATTGATTATATTTTGTGCCATTGCTGTGATACCACATATATTCTTCCAAACACAAAGCCCACAGTCACATCCTTTAGTTCTAGAGAAAGTACAGTTTACATCAGTAAGACCCAGTCACACACTCAACACTCACAATGCTTTGTTTGTACTGTGTTCTTAATAGCTAAGGCTTTTGTATTAAAATGTTTCATTCAGTGACACACAAATAAAGTGCTAATGTTGTATAATTTTGCCTGATTTCATTTGGCAAAGGCAGTAGGGGGCGAATAAAGGAAAAGCAGAAAAGCAATTTTGTATTTGACATTTGAAACACCAACTCGACACGGTCCTAACACTATTCATCCGACCTCCATGGAGTGCGAGTGTACCTGTCTAGAAGAAATCTGAGGTACTCAGAACAGTCCTGCTGAGAGCCGACATTGAACCAGGGAGGCCGAGACGCTTCCAAGAAGTTTCTGGGAGCATATGCTGCCCTCTGCAGGAAACAGACACGCACCACACACACAAACACACAGTCGACGTGTCACCAATTGTTGTTGTTACAGAATATAATTAATGATGACATCGATTACACGGGACAACACTAACCTGAGTGTGTGCGAGGAAAGCAAACAGCAGCTGAAGCTTTTTCATGAGTGTGTTGGAACCATTTAGATGTAATGATAAAACATGCCGCCTGAAACTGAGAAAGAACAAAGTTACACTCAGACCATATTCATGCCTTTTAGAGTGTGTGTGTGTGTGGTTTTTGCATACACAACTCACTCTGTAGCCATGAACAGGGTCTGGATGATGCTGTTCATGTAGCAGGTGTTCCCCAGGTTAACCAGGCCAGTCTTGCCCGTCTCAGACTTCCCAGCTTGCCTCAGAGGACCAGAGGCAAATGAGTTGGACTGGGATGTCCAGGCACTTTGATTCAACACCAACTTGATCTTCTCTTCTCCGGGTCTGGGGAGATCCTGAGAGGACACATTGAAATGATTAGATACAGAACACTCAAGAAGTCTACACGTAAGTCTTTAAAGCTGTAGATTGAACGGTGTCCCCTTCTCTTTTACCTTGATGGCGTCTAGTATGTGGTCATAGAGGTCAGGGAAGCCGGAGTACTGGTACATCATGCAGTGTATGAGCTCAGTGAACTGCAGCAAGAAAGCTTTACTGGTGGAGAGACCATCTGTCCTCAGAGACTGGACTAGATGCACCACATGTGGAACAACCTGAGACAGTGAGGGATGAAGATGAGAGAAAAATGTTGAAGACACTGTGGTGCTGCAAACCTTGGAAGGTCCTTCTAATATTAATCATACAAATCCACAACACGGTCAGCCAGAGGGTAGTTGCAAATCACAAACCCCACAGAGGGTTCGGTCTCATTTAGTGAGTATTTCTGAGACTATTCGTGTTTTGAGATACTAATGAAATTGGCCAACTCGAGGGCCATTGCTCGGCATTTAAGTGCTTCACACATCATTAGTGGGAGAGCGGTGCCGAGTCTGAGGTTCTGGGAAAATAAGTCTATGTAGCTTTGAAGTAATTTAAGCCAGAAGAGGAAAAAAAAATGAGAAAACCAATAAAGTGGCCATATGAGAGGGAAATGGGCTGTGAGGAGACAGGAGATCCCTTACCAAATGGAAGGCCTCAGGAGAGTGCTGGAAACTCAGCAGCATGTGGGAGAGCACAGCGAGCGCCCCCTGCCGCACAATGGGGTACCACAGGCGACTGAATACCTACAGGGGTAAAAAAAATCAATCTTTAGGTTTATGAATACATTCAGAGTATATTAACTGGGGAACTGGTTCAATAATTCAAGTGAGTCATTTTTAACAGCCCTAGGCAAAACATTTTTCAGAGAAACTTCTGCAGTCTAGCATAATTATTACCGCAGTCTTACACCTGTGTAGCTTTAAAGGATGCATACAAATTCCATCTAGCTTCTTCCTGAGGTCCATAATAAATCAAAATAAAGAGTTCTTACTACAAACCAGTTCAATTTTAAGCAGAGTGACATCAATGAGGATAGTGAACTTCTGAACTGCAGCGAGTCCTTTGAGCAGAGCAATGACCCAGGTATCAACATGTTGGGCCAGAGGCCAAGACAGCCAGTCGATCATCCTAGAGCAGAGAGAATAAGATTTTATAAGGTTTAAATAATGTGCAAGAATGTGTTGTAACATTATGGTGACATACACGTTGCTACACAAAAGGTCAAAGCATGTGGAGAAAAATAATACTAAGTTGCATACATCAAAAGATATTCACAATAAATATATATTTCTATATTCTAGTCTTGCTATTAGTGTCTTCGTTCTCTCCGTTAGTGTATCTGCTGCTGTCCTACTCCGTGTCTGTAATGCTGCTGCTGCCACACGCATATTTCCCAGCTTTGGGAATCGAATATAAGCTCTGATGTTATGATATTTTGTCTGTCGTGTGTGTGTGTATGTGTGTGTTGTGTGTGTGCTGTGATCGTGTGTTGTGTGCTTGTAGTCGATTCTGTTGTGTGTATATACTGATATTCGTCTATGTTGTACTTCTATCCTGTACTCATCTATCTATCTATCTATATTGCAAAAGCCATTCATTTTGGATGACTAGATGTGTGAGGTTACCTGCAGAGCGCTTTAGTCATGTTTGCGTCTTTGACATTGTGGTCTGTGGTGACACTCTTGATTAGCACTGTGATCATCTGGACGGGGATGTGCTGGACCAGGCTGGCCAGAGCAATGGATGGGTCGAAGGCGGGGTCTGCGAAAAAACAAATCAGAGTAGAAATGGTGCAGACCGGTAAATACACCACCCACCTTTTCCATTTGTATCAATAGTAAGTGGGGTAAAATTGGGCATTTCCAGTTAAATTTTCCAGTTCAACAGTGCAACACCAACACAAAGTAAGGCCTCAGATATTAGACAGCGCTGTTTAACACATTCAGTATTTTATGTTTTAAGTTGTTCCTGTGGTTTTTCTCAGCCTCCCAGCATTTGAAAGTCGTTTCACTTGTCAGGCCCCGGTCAAAGTTCTTCAATAGTGACTATCTGCTGATATTTATTTCTTCTTACGTAATATATCTGCAACAGAGCACGCTTACACTAAAGTAAGCCTACTTCATAATTAATAAACACTTCTACATTGCTTTGACAGCTGAACATTAACAAAACCCGATCTTGCGTCACAGCTTTCCTTTGACGGGTTCCTGTAATATGTTGTTGTAGTGTCTTAGAGTGTTTGTGTGATATCTATGAAGGAGAGTGTGGATCTGTGGATCTGACAGCATCTTCTTGTGAGTGTGGCTATTCAATTAAAACTGCTGCCTGCTGCTTGTTTATTTCGTGCTGCTCCACGGTTCAGTCACTTGTAACACAGCACAGTACGCTGAGGACAATCCTAACATTTACCATCAACACGAAAACTGCAGCTTTGACTTCGGCAGAAATATTCTGAGCTCAACTAAAATCCTCACAGAAAGAGACGTTTTCAATATTTGCCCTTGGGGAAATTGTACTCGTCGAATCAGGGGATTTAAGAAGTATTGGCTCCGTGGAATGACAAGTGTGAAATGAAGCCATTACCTCCTGAATGAAAATAATCAGTGCGCCAATGGTGCTGAACAAAGCTGGAGGAACATTCAACCTATACCAAAGAAGAGAACTAAGCCAAGGGATCAGCTGTTGGCGGGGGCCTGAAAACCAAAATGAAACAAGGTAGCTGCTCCCGGACTCAATCATGCGCTAAAACACTGATCTTAATGCCAAGATGTACAGAGGGAAGGGTATAATGTCATCCATGCTGCCAAATGCAATACTCTTTTCTTCATCACATCGATAAATCTATGAATGAGATCCAAATGTGGTGCATCTTTAACTTTCCCATAGCATACCATACTATTAAACTACAGACAAATAAACAAATAAAGGCAGTTCTTGCTCCAATGTGAATTAAGGTCTGCTCAACTATCATACAACCCCATGTATCATTTCGTAAGGAAGGAAGGAAGGAGGGAACCCACCTGTGGAAGAGATAATGGCAAAGACTTCCTGCAGTGAGGGAAGCAGCGTGGCGGGGTCAGCCTTCCAGATGTTTTGCAGCAGTGTGCTAACCTTAGTCACCTGACTTATATACTCTCCCAGCTCGCGCTCTTGGCTGGCAAAGCAGTGGAAGTAACTGATGGTCCTCACCAGCTGCTGGCAGAACAAAACGCCCGACTTATCCCTCGGGATGCACTGCACAAAGTCTGACAGCAAAGTGTTCAGGCGGGCGCAGAGAGCGGGCTCCGGACGCTCACACACCATCCTCAACACCTCCACCTGGATCACGCCGAAGATCTCCAGCACCGAGGGGCAGCTGATGAGCAGCCGCAGGCAGCAGTGAATGTAGTCTATAATGGCTGGGTCTTTGCGGTCCAGCTGCTCGTAGCCCTGCTGGAGAAGACTGAGGGCGAAGTCTTTGCTGAAGAAACGCTCAAACTCCGGGCGGTGGTAACGCGCGTAGGCATCCAACACCTGGAGGCCGATCTGCCTCTGAAAGGCATCTTCACCAAGCAAGATGAAGCGGGTGGTGAGAGTAAACAAGGACTGACACTGTTCCTCGGTCACCTCTTTCTCGGCCGCTTCCACTACCTTCTTCACGATGGCTCGCTTCACTGGAACGGAGTGGTCGGAGCTCACGAGGCCCTCCAAAATCTTGTCCATGATGGCGTTCTGTGGGAAAGAGTTAAAACTTATTAAAAAGGTCACATGTTTAAGATGTTTTTATGTTTATTGCCGTGTGCGACAAAAGAAAGCAAGTTTTCCTCTGCGCAATGGAATTCTTTCTTTGCTGTCCACCCTGACGCCGACACTAAAGTACAATAGTAGAATAGAATAAGTAACAAAAAACACAATATTACCCAATAATAGAATAGTAAAAAACACAATATTACAATAAGTACAGTAAGTAAAAAAGATAAAAAATAAAACACTCAATAAGTGCCTGATGACATAATTCCTGCAGTCACACTTCATGGTAAAACAAATGTGGGGGGGGGCATTTATATGTTGTTGTTATTATTAACTGCTGTGCTTTTTCTACTGTGATAAGTCAAAATGTCTGTGGTGAGAAAAAGCCTGTTGGTGCTCTTTTCACATTGTCTGCATTCATCGAGCGCACAGACTGTCAGCATTCAAAAGGTAGAGCGCGTGTACTCGGCTACAATGTGCTGCGACTGGAATGCAGAACTCGGAGAATTGACTGTGATGTGACTATTGAGGGAGAAAAGGGGGCTTTACACCGACAATCGGACAGTTGGGTGATGCTTGAGACCACGATGAAACACAACACATGTCAAATGCTGAATTTAAATTAAGACCTAATAAGAGACTGATAGATGCTTTCGTGATTTTTATATTTCTGTAGAATATTTAAAGCAATTGGATCCAACACACAACACAAATAAAAAATGTATTTAGCAAATTGTTACATTTGAAAAGCTGGAACCAGTACATTTTTAATATTTCTGCTTAACTCAGTTATGACTTTATAGATTATTGCTGATTCATTTTCTATTGATGAGTCATCTTGACTAATCTTTTCCGTCCCAATTTAAATTTATAAATGGAAAAACTGTAAAAGCCAAATAGCCAAGTAAACTATATATACTGTTTTTTTTAAAAGGTTAATCTAAGTGAGCAAAATATTAAAAGCGTACGTAAATTGATTGTTTTGGTTAATTTTTTGTTACAGGTTTTTAAATATGAAACCGTTTGCAAGTATAGGTTGAGATTTGTTTGTTTAAAAGTAATATAAGATGGTATCTTCTTCAAAACATTCATGAATGTAAAACTTTAGCTAAAATAATTATATATTGTTCACAGCTTGTCCATTTAGGATTGGTTAATATAAATAGCAAATTATGTTCTTTAAGCAAAACTGTAACAAAGTACATTTTAAGATCCAATTGGAAATCAACAAAGAAGGCTGCCACATGTACACAGTGAATGTTTTTAACCATATTATTACAGCAAGAGCATTTGCATTATATTCAGAAATCATATAATATAATCATCATATAATATCTATGTATGACTTTAAATAACAGCTATTGGATTTTGTGTGTGTAGGGGAGAGTAAATACAACATCCCATGTAGTAAATGTCTAATCTGCTGTTAATTAAATGTTTACTTTCAGTATTAGAAATGTCTTATCTGTTGTTGTTTCACTGTAGGAGAATGAGAAACCTTTGTATGTCTGGTAACAAGTAACAATAAAGCTGACTTTTGACTTCTACCACCATAAACCAGGTCTGTCCATGTATATTTATATTATATATTATAACGTTATATTTATATATTTCCCAGCCGCTGATAGTTGTTAGGGTAAGTGAGTTCCTGGTGAAGATGTAGTTAAAGATGGACATTATCTCGCTCCTTCAGCAGAGCAGCGACCCACCGCTATGTGTGCTTGTTGTGTGGATACCACTGACAGTATATAACGTTATAAATATATATAAATATATAAATATAGGTGGATACAGGCAGAGATACACACATATATCTATGGATACAGGCGGCTAGCATGCTAACGCTAACCGTTACGTTAACGTTTTTCTCTACGCGCTCCAATAACGTGCCTCGGCCGTTAGTGCAACTGAAATCCGTGGAACCCGTTATCCGGTTCCATGGCGACGGCGCTTACTAACGTTCGCTCCTACAACGGACAAAAACAAACAAACAAACAAACAAACAAACAAACAAACACACGAACAAAGCAGCTGAGACGGGCCTGACGTTCTAACGTTAGCTGAGTAACGTCAGGTCCCACTGACTTGGCAGAAACACCGCCGTGTGTCGGCGCGGCGCGGCACGGTTAGAGTCCGTACTTACCCCCAATAAAGCATGTCAACCGTGTCGGGCCAGGATGTCGTCGGTTGCCGGTGGATGTTGGCGCTCTGTTGGCGGATAAAACCGTGTTATTGTGGTTCATCTGATCGATCACAAATCAGCTGATTAACCGTGCGCCGACGTCATTCCGTAGACGGAGGTGTTGTTAGGACCTTGTTAGGACCTTATGTGACGCAATTTCTGTGCCTGTTACGGTGTTTTTTTTTTATTTAAGGGAATAATATTAGATGTTCTCGGTAAATTGGGTTTTTTAACGTTTTGGGTGACATGAATTAAATGTAGTTAAATTCTCGTTAAGGTATTTGGGCACATCTGAGCCGTTTATGTCCAGTTCTTGTGCTGCATTCAAATACACCTCGTTTAGCTCTCAGATCAACTGCCGTGTTTATATCAATGTCCCTTTTTGATTGATACTTTATTGTTCCCCCAAAATCCCATTTTAAATTTAAATTTTTCTTAACTTATATTTATAATGTGAAGACAATATAGAATTATTTAAAGTAAATACATAAATATGATGTGATATATCTATGTTTATATTACACATACTATGTAAATATGTTGATAGAAAGAATGGAGGCGGTGTATGCATTGTGTACAGACTGAGTATGATGTACAGTAGGCCTTTATTTCAAATAACAAAAAAGAGGAGCTTTAGAAAATGTAAACGGACATGACATTTTATTATTTGACCAATTTGCTCTGCTTTTATGGAAGTCACGGAAGACAATTTAATTGGACTTGTCTTCATAATTAGTTTAGGGAAATGCTACGAAAAGGTTTGTTACAGAATATATAGAGAGGATTGATGGACATCTTAAAATAGCCTCACCAAAGCCTTTTAATGATTACTATGAGGAAATTCCCCACAAAAGAATCTATATCGGTAACTAAACTACTGTAATCATTACATTACAAATAGGAGTTAATGTATTGTAGTAGATTACTTTGGATGTACAGGGAACATATTTTTAAAATGTATTTAAAGAGTGTTTAAAATGTACAAAACTTGCTCACAAGTTCAGCTGATTCACCAACAGGATACTGTTACAGTACATTTTACCCAAAAGAACTATGCTGCTAAGCATAACACAGTAATTAGATATTAACTATAATGTTTTATAAACCAAGCCCAGATTCAGGCTTTAAACTAGTGTTACTACTAATTATCTTCTTGGCAAATGTATCAAACTCAATCTTTTAACTCAATCAGCATAGTATTACAGTCTTTCTATAGTGCACAAATTGAATAATTTATTAATATATATTGCATCCTATTAAATGATTAACCCTGAATCCGATAATTCAAGGCAACTTTTAGACTGAATTCTAGTTTAACAAAACCAAAATATTCTGTGTGGTCCATCAAGTTTTGCTAACAAGTATAAAAAGATGATTTTGATATACTGGAAGATTTTTTTGTTATTGCTGCATTTTCATTCCTTTCATCCAGGATTTAAAGATTTAAAAACAGTTTTGTACAGACACAATGGGTAAATATACACACTGGTATTAAGGAACAATGCTTATTACATTTAAAATCAATTGTATAAAGAAATCAATTGAAGTAAAATACATTTAAAAAATAAACACGCCACTTTTCAACCTACAACCCAACATTTCCAACAGCCGCTGAATGCAGCACAACCAAATCTCGCGATAGTACCCTCTGTGAACGCGGGTAGCCGAGAACAATCTTCCTAGCGCGAACGTGCTCCCTGTGACCAACCGGTGAGTCTTTCATTACAAACAACCGGATACTTTCCCGTTTATCGAGAGAAAAGTTCGGAAAATCTCCACCGGCGCTCATACGGGACCACACAAGGCGCCAAACTAACGGACGACATATCTGAACCGAAGAGGAAATTCGCCAGAAAATGTCCGAAAGCGCGAACTGCGAGGAACAGCGGGAAGAGCCGACCGAACTTGACGAAGCACCAGGAGCAGCGGAGGTAAAGACGGGGCTTAAAAACGGGGCATTGTCTCCTCTCAGCGCCGGGCATCTTCTCACACACCTGTCACACGAGAGCCCCGTCGCCGAAAAACCCTCGTCCGTTAACCTAAACCCCCTCCCCCGCTGTGGGAAACTTTCACTTTGTGTTAGCCTCCGTTAGCGACGCTCGGTCCCATTCACGGCAGCAACAAGGCAACAAGGCAACAAGGCCGGCCCGGTTCAGGAGCGTGAATACGAGGTAGCTTAGCCGCGCTAGCCACGCATCGATTAAAGTCCCGGCGTGCTTTTTGTTTACTCCCAGACTACATTCACTGGGCGAGTTGGTTGTAACTAGGGGCCCGGCTTTTTAGGAAGAAGATGGGGGGGGAAAACAACAACCTTCGTGTAGATAAGTTAAGAGCAGCAACCCGCTCAGCTGTCCCATCCGCGGCTTTGTTTTCAGTGGGACAGTAATGGCTTTTGTAACCGAGGAGCGATGCTGCTACAGCGCTGCCTCTCTGCTGTTAAAGTGTTGAGTCTGGGTTCAAATGCTACAAACATTATTGAAACAGTATTGATTCATCCAACGCTGGGAAACTGTCATAGCAGCAAATACTACAGATGGACAGTATAAATAAGTATCTTAGAAAAAAGTTCGACTATCATATGCGCCCCCACTATACACAAAATAAAGCTAAAAAAAAACAACAATAAAGGTACCAAATACAGTATATGGTTACATAAACGTGTATTGTAACAACAGTAGTGACACATAAGGAGCAAAGGAAACATTTCATACATAAATTGGGTGGTTGGTGAAGTGTCTGTTCTCTGCTCGTAGCAAAACAAAGAGTTCAAAGTGTGTCTAATGCTCAGGTTGAGTAATGTGATTGACCTGTAATCCAGTTGGCTTTTTTTGTCGGCCCTGATAGCCAGAAGTTTTGCCATTACAAGTCTTTCTACCGCTCTCTCTTTGGGCTCCAGAGAGTAGCCCTGATCTTTTGTTGGCTCTGTTCCTGTCTGCTGCTGTTTGACACATTTGAGGGAAGCCACTGAACAAGACTTGTTTTCTGTTTCCTCTTTTTCTGCTCAGGAAAAGTCTGATTCTTCCGATGCTGGAAAAGAGTCCTCTTCAGATGCCGGGCCTGATGGACAAGATGCCTCCCCCTCCTCATCCAAAGCTAAAGATGCTACTCCGGGGTATGAGGAGAAAGTGGTAAGGACGCCGTTTCAGTTTTCGTACCTCACACGGCTCGCTGCTCCGCTCTCCGGTAAATAAGTTAACAAGCCTGTCTTCTTGTGCGTGTAGCAAACAGACCGGACCAACAGATTTGAGTACCTGTTGAAGCAAACGGAGTTGTTTGCTCATTTCATCCAACCAGCCGCGCAGAAGACCCCCACCTCCCCCTTAAAGATGAAACCGGGACGCCCTCGCATCAAGAAAGATGAGAAACAGAACCTGCTCTCTGCCGGAGAGTGAGTTCACTGCCGCGCAATACACATCTCTTCAGTGATAGCAGTTAAACTCCCGTTGTAATGATCACGATGTGTTGTTCCTCTCTTATGCTTGACAGTAATCGTCATCGCCGAACAGAGCAAGAGGAGGACGAAGAGCTTCTGAACGAGAGCACCAAGACGACTAACGTCTGCACTCGCTTTGATGATTCACCCTCCTGTAAGAAACAATTCTGTATTTAATGTAATCGTTAGTTTAGGCTTGAGAGGAAGGCCACACATATGGTAAACGGTAGTGGTGTTTATGAGTTCTCTTGTGTCTCATCCAGACGTCAAAACAGGAAAAATGAGAGACTATCAGGTCCGTGGTCTGAACTGGCTCATCTCTTTGTATGAGAATGGCATCAACGGCATCCTCGCTGATGAAATGGTCAGTAATTCCTCAGAGTCAAAACTTTAACTTCTACATTCAAAGGAGGAGTGAGAAATGTGTGTATCTTACAATATTGTTGCATTTACATGTACTGCTCCATGTCTCTCTCACACACAGGGTTTGGGGAAGACTCTTCAGACTATTGCTCTGCTGGGTTACATGAAGCACTACAGAAACATCCCGGGTCCCCACATGGTGCTGGTGCCCAAGTCCACCCTCTACAACTGGATGAATGAGTTCAAGAGATGGGTGCCTTCACTCCGTGCAGTGTGCCTGATTGGAGATAGAGACCAGAGGGTACGCGCTGTGACGTGATGATATGACTCTGTGATGTTTTGCTCTGTAATGCTTCATTTCTTTATTTTAATGTGTTTGTTGTAGTTTGGCCAACCATACAACATCTAAACATGTATGCACAGTAGCCCTAGTTTTAATTTTGCAAGTAAGTCTTTTGCAGAAAAACCCTTTTTGATGGCGTCAGTAGACCACTAATTTGTCTGGTTGCAATATTACACTTCACTTTGAACTGGGATGTGTGTGTGTGTGTGTG